CAAAGGAAATCAAGGAAACCCAGATTGCTTTCCCTTGGTATTTGAATCTCTACCCCTTATCCAAAATGGCTATGGATAACTGTAGTTCAATACTTACTTTTTATTTCAGCGGATATTTATTGAATTCTTATTTTGTGGCATGTACTATGTTATGTGACAGGACTACAAAGATGAATAAAACATGGTTCTGGTCTTCAAGGAGCATGTGATGTTTTTTATCCTTTTCTACCCTTATCTACTTGTGGTATTTGACCTGCTCTGTTGCTTTGGGCAAGTGTGTATGGGCACCGATTGCTACTCTGGTTTAAATTTCAAGTGTGTCAGTGGTGTTTTGTGGACATGTAGTAGAATTTGCACTTGATTGTGATTCTGAAGACAAGTTGAAACCAGCTCTTGTGATTTACTATCATCCTAATAATTCATACTTTTTTTCTGTTTCACAATCTCTAAAGACCTATTCAAGGGTCTGTAAATGCTTAGAGCTATTGTATAAACTGTACAGATAAAATCTTAGCATGAAAAAAACTATTTTAAATATTGACAGTATGAGAAGAATTTTATAACTTCAGATTTTAATTGCTTTATTAAAGTCTGTGGTACCCATGAATTTGTTATCATGATATCAGAATTTTCATTAGTAGAAAATAAGTCAGATGACTTAATAAATCAAACTTGATATTCAATATCTGCTGAGCATTAAATTTATCTTTTATGGAATCTTGGATAGCCATAGTCCTAATTCATACTCCCTTAAAGGCTGGATGTTAGCATCTTTCAGATGGAGGTCTGTTGGCTGATATTTAGCATACGCCGCCACCAAAACCAACCAAACCAAAAATGTGCTTTATAACACAAGCAAATGGACAACTCATTCTCTTTTCAGGTTGAAGCACTGTACCACAGTCAGATCACCATGTAACTCAAAGAGTGGAAATTGTCCATTGATCTTCTGTGTTCTCTTCAGTACCTAACAAGTTCCAAGGTGCCAGAACCTCATCTGGCAAGAGGTTGGGAGTCCCTGCAGCACTAGTTCCTTATGTAATCCACCAGTAGTTTGGTCGGATTAATTAAATCTTGAAAATACAAAGTCAATGCTTAGATCACTCATATAAGCAGCTAAGTGTAGATTTTCTTTTTAAAAATCTGACCTGTAGAATAGTGCTAAAGAGATATCCAGGATGCGTACTAGAACTTTCAAAATATGGTCATTATAATAATGGTTAGGTGCGTTTTGCCTTGGCTGAATTCTACTTCTGAGCTTTAGCCTCAGTAATCTTCTAAATGTATAGCCCATTTTATAATTTGTTTTAATAAATTTGTTCGTTTTAATAAATCTATAATAAATCTTCTGACCCTGTACTCAAATTTATGATTGAGAAAGTTAAAATTTATCTAGCCAAAAAGACCTTTGTTAGCAGACCTCAGACATCCCTTTTGAGACGGTACTACTTGGTAGTTTCTGCTAAGTCTACAGTCCTTTAAACCACAACGATTAGTTCCAGATAACTTCTGGTGGCTAAGCTGGCCACCACGTTTACATTTTCCACACACATCAGTTCTCACCCCTTGTGTGCATGTCCGTTCATTCTTTTATGCTGTTGATCACAACACAAAATGCATTCTTTCTTGGATCTGCTAGCATCCAAAGGAGAATGTTGAGCCTGTGGTTTCAAAGACTGTCCCTGAAAGCTTCCATTTTTTTCTGTTCCAAAAGTAAATTTTTAAAAATGTACTGTATATTTTAGAAGAACATACAAAACTTGTTTTACCCATTCTGCATGTAAATTGTTAGAAATTAAATTGTTAAAAGGTAAACTATTTTTAATTTAAGCAGCAAAATAATCCCCTGCCCCATTAGTTTTCTATAATGTTCAGTATTTGGCCCATCTTTTTTGTATTTTATAAAACACATCTAACTCTTAATACTTGGCTTAAGTACTTAAGGCATTATACGTTTAGAATAATAATGAATTGTGGAATATAGGGTTCCTATCTTGTTTTCAGAGGTGGTAAACTTGGCTTTTTATAGCTCTAGTGTTGACTCTCAGGCTAGGTTTATACTTTAGGGAATCAGAAGTCAGAGGAATGTAGGTGGGTTAGTAGCCATTAATATCCCACACGAGATGATCCAGGTCTAGAAAGAAGAATAAGCTTCATGTATGAGTGTACACATGCCTTTTCAGTGGATAACTATCATATATGAGGTATGTTGAAATAGGCTTCTGTTATTTGCTGTTTTTATTCATCCGTTCTCCCCTTCTCCAATATGGCATGCTACATAAAGTACAGAGTATCATTTCTTCCCTTTCTGAAAGTGAGCTCTTCAGATGTTTAAGCAACTACTGTATAGTTGTGTACATATGTGTGTCAAATGTGTACAGATTAGTCACTAATTTCTGAATCCTAGCAGTGCAAGTAAGAATTATACAACGAGCATTATTATTGTTGCTGTTTAACTCTGAAATAAAGTCTCCTACTTTGAATTGGGATTAGGGCATGTGGTGTTTTGTTGTTTTCATTTACTAGTGCATGTGAGGCAGCTACAGAAAGTTCTCCATAATCTCAAGAAAACTGTTACCAATAATTGTCTTGTTCTTAAGGCACACTGAACATATTTACTGTGTTTTCTATTTGTACACTTATCCTATATGTAGTTGACTTAAATTGTAAGCTAAACCAAAGATTTCTAGTCCCTTTAATTGCATAAGCCATGATTTCTGACCCCAGTTCAAATTCTGTTATTAGTAGCAGAAGAAGCTCACCAACCTCTGCCATCAATGGGTTAAATTCTTTCATCAAACGTGTTTATGAGGGGCCACAGCTCTGTCAGCTGGACTGCTTTTTCCCCCCACTTTCTAGTTCACTAATCAAATGTATGTTAGATTGATTATTGTAAAAGTATAAACCATAGAAAATTTGACAAGATAGATGTGTAAATTATCCTTCTGACAGAACTAATGATGCACTCCAAGCACCTTCTGTTTTCCAGCGTGTGGTGACTGACTTCATTAAATATGCAATGGCTGTTGGGTTGTTTCTCAGATGATGGTTTGTTCCTTGTGGAATTGCATTATTACTAGAGGTGTAAAACCAGGCAGACAAGCTAGCGGCTGGGCATCCTGCTGAGGCTCTAATGTGCTCCATCTTGTTGGAGCAGTTGTTTGCAGTCTTTTCAGGACAATTACATCCAAAACCACAGGACACATTCAATGAAACTATATTACAGATAACCGTGGAGACTGGCATTGAGTACTCTTCACCCCTTTTAAGCTGCCTCAGTGTGGGTAGCTTACAGTAATACAGTAATGCCACTTCTACCACTTTTTTTTGTTAATCCCATGGAAGTAAATCTGGAAATAACTGATTTTTAACTTTAGTTAAACTTTTTAACTTTTTAGTTTTAGGTGCTTAAAATCATGGAATATTAGAATTGAAGAGACTTTACAAATTCTAGATGAGAAAACTGAGGCTGAAGCATAGTTATGGGTTGTCCCTTGAGAGAGATGGAAGGCCCTGGTAGAACATCTTTTAGGTGGTAGACATTTCATGAATAGGAATTTGTACTGTTTAGCTTCTGGTTTTAGAGCTCTCTTTAAACAAAAATTTTCATCTTGAATTTAAGATTTTTTTCTGCTGTATCTTATTTTCCTCCATCTTAACACCAACAATGCTTTTTTATTTCTAAAAGCCAAACAGAAATATCAGGGTATCAGAGGGTATGATGTTATTTATTAGTTTGATGACAATTTGATGGTTTCCTAGAGAACTGGACACAAAACATGGTTTGGAGTTGAGCTAAAATGCTACTTAAGGTTTCCAAAAGGCAGATGCTATGATGTATCACTGCAGCCTGATAAATGGGAGTACATTTTAGAATGACAGGCTGAATACTTTAATGAAAGAATGTTTCCCATTTCAGTTGGCCAATTAAATCACTGTCAATGACTTTGGATCATTAATGAATATTTGTGGAAAATGACCCTTTGAATTCAATGATTACAATAATGCATTTGTTTGAGAAGTACTAACCACAAATAATCCTAACTGTAAATTAAAAGATTTATCCATTTTGCCACAGATAAGTCAGTATATTACTTTGCTTTTTAATGTCAAAGCAAGTTGACATTTCAGAATTCTTTTACAGATTAAATCCATATCCTTTCTAATAAAAGTTGTACTTAGAAAAGTTTGTTTTTCAGTGAGTGCCTTTTAAAATATAATTTATGCTGCTAATCAACCATTACGTTCGCTTTATTATTCTCAGAATAAACTAGCAAGACCTAGAAACAAAGAAGGGGAACATTTTACAGAATATAAAATAAGAGATTAAGTTTAAGGTAGATTAGATATTTGATGTATTTAGTGCCTAAAAAAATCCCTAAATCTGGAAGAACGATAGGAAGAAAGTAACAATTATTTGGGAACATGCAAATTTATTTTAAAGTACTGTGAGGAGAAAATGTAAATAGAAAGCTTCATAACTAGATTTTTTTCTTAAGTCTATTAAAGTTTCAGATTTTCTTATATTTGTTTTTGTTTTTGTGCTTCTTAAAATATTTTAAGGATATATATCCCGTTATTTTTGCTGAGTATACCCAACAAATTCATCTTGTTACAATGTTTTTCTTTAGTTAACTTCATTTTCTCTGAAACTTTGGTATGTTTTGGTACTTAAAACAAGGGTGGGTTCTTTTGAAATGCATGTTTTTCTCGTCTCGTTGTTTGTAAAATGGACTGTAATCTCAGTCAAAGCTTCTTTCAATCTCTTTTCATAGTTTACAAAGAAAGGAGACACTGTGGAGCACAGACTTCCCCTGGGAATACATTGAGCTTAATGAGCTTGATAGTCTGGTGGGCTCAATAAATCAAATAAAGCAAAACATTTCTCATTTTTGAATAAAAGCATTTATCACACAGTGTTTGTTCACTCGTGGTCACAAGATTGATTGATTCTTAGCATCATAGTGTATATTGAACCATTTTTGATTTTGTTTTTTCAGTGGGCAAGTTACGGAAGCAATGGCTAAAGGAAAGTATCTCTGATGTCGGCTTTGGGATGCTGAAGTCTGTGAAGGAATATGTGGACCCCAATAACATCTTTGGAAACAGAAACCTTTTATAAATCTATTAGTATCATTATGAAAAATGTCAAATTTTTTTTTAAAGTCTTCAACTATGATTATACCAGTAATCAAATATATCATGGACTATATTTTGGCTACATTCATTTGTTGGTTTAAAATGTTTGTGTTCATTCTATAGTTTGTTTGTTTCTACATCTATGGATTGACAGATGGTATTACTAAATCTCATTGTAGGTGCATCAGTTCACAGCCAACTGGTTGTCTTTTCAAATTTTAGTCGGGCAGCACCAGGCTGCCAGTATTTCAGAGGAAAATGTCACCAGCTGTTCCATTAATGCTTCCTCTTGGGGAGCAAAGGCAGATTTTGGTGTCATCTATTGCTTATCTAGCCTCTTTTCAGAAGACCATTTCTGGTATGCAGGTACCTAGGGAAGGATTCCATCGAGGAGTGATATATGTGTACATTTTTAAGAGCATATTCTAGTGTGAGTAGGCCATTAAGGGAGGATATTCATGAAAGAATATAGGCAACCTGTTATTTAGGATACCTTCAGATCTGTAAGGTGGGTGGCCTATATATTTTTTTAAATTAGTATGCAGTTATAAAACCTTGAATCATCAATATACGAATTACTCTGTTAGGGGACACATCTTTGTTCTCCATGTTTGTTTCTACTGAGGTTTGAGTTGTATTTCTATCACTGAGATAACCTGTTGTTATATCCTGGTTCATTTATAATATGTTTTGTAAGAAAAGCTGACCTGTCACTCATTGTACATGAAGAAAAGGTTTACTATGAAATGAACACCCTTATTCAAGTTAGAGTCCTAATGTTTTTAATTTCACATTCTTGTTGCTGAGAAGAAGCTGTGACAGGAGCAGAAGGAAGACTCCTTACGCTTAATGTCTCCAGTTGAAAGAATTATCTGGCTAAATTTAGAAACAGTCATTCAGCTACTGAATATGAAGCCTCAAGTTTCAATGGCGAAAAAAAATTTTTTTTAATTAACCCAAACAGCATGATAAATTTTCATACAAAAGATTATTTTTTAATAATGGTTTAATGCCTTTTTTGAATTACTGGTTTAACCTAAATTTTACAAAAAGTAATGTATTAATGCATATACCATAATCAAAAGCTTGAAATATCCTATTTCTTAAATAATGAGAGCATTAATCGCATTTAGCAAACATTTTTACATTCAAACCTGGATATTAAAATAAGTGAAATGATTACTTTGAATCACTCTCAAGGTTCATGATTCATATTTTGAGATGGATTTCTTTCTTAATGCAATACCTAACTTTTGATAATTTTTTAAAATTAATATTTGATCAGATAATGTAAGTCAAAATGCAGATGATTCTTTAGAAGGACACACTATCTATGTAGCAACAGCTCCAAAGTATTTCTGGGCAGTTTGATACCTTTTATATCTGAAGTAGCCTTAACCAGAAAAGTGAAAATTTGAAATTGACAAAATATTTTTAAGATTTCAAAATGATGAATAATTTTTAACTATTAAAATTGGCCACAAACTAATAAACTTAAATCTGTAAACAAGTCAAAATTAACTGTTAATTTAACAATAAAAACTAAATATATTTTTTAGAAGCTGCCTCTCTTTATTTGTGATTTATTTCTAAGTATAAAATTTCCAGTAGAGCTTTGCTTAAAACCCTTGATATTTGAAATAGTTGGACACTTGATAAGGAAATTGCCTCTAGAATTATAAAAATCTCAGCTTTATAAAATGCATCTATTCATGAAGGTAATTTCTCTAACTGGTGATCAAAATGTAGAATTTAGTAAGGTATTAATATTTCACTGGAAGTGTATACATGTTTCTGAGTTTTGGGTTTTATTTTTTTGTTTTTTGTTTTAAAATAAAACATTCATAAGCAGATCCATTCCTTTGTATGTTATTGTTATAACATTCTTTTTCAGGGAGTTCAGATTTCAGCAGCCTTAGAAATCTGTATTTGATATTAGGAAACTCTAAATGTAACATTCAATTGTTGTGTTCACTATTCTACAAGAATCTTATGAAAATTAGTGATTTATGTCTTTGTTTTTCTTTTTCCATGTATGTAGGACTCCCCACCCTTGATCTTATAATGGTGACTACATTTTATAGTTGGAATCATTTCTACAAGGGTCATTTTGAAACAAAAGAACATTCATTCATCAGTACTGTTTCACTCTGATTTAGTGAATAAGAAAGCCTTCCTCCCACTTTCACACACCCCGTTTCACACACCCACTTACAGGAGGTGCTCAGTATAGTCTTAGTGTCCGTGAAAGACTGAGTTCATGAATATACATAGAAGCCCTTAAGTCATGCCTCTTATTTCTGAAGTATCTGAAAATGGCTTCCTAAAAATTAAGGCCAGGAGAACATTGTTTATGTGAGGCTTCTTAACTCATTTTGAGTAAGTTTATTTTAAATGTTAAAAGCCCGTAGCCTATTTGGTTTTCAGTACTGTGTAACACTGATTTCTTTCTTAAATTAGTCATAATTGTAGTATTTTAGTTAAATTTGATGATGTCACATTTAAGTTGGTTTCAGTGGGATTGGGAACTCACTGCTAGTGAGAAATGGCATTGAATACTAAGACTCAATATGAACAGGCTTAATAGACACTTAAACCTGCCTTAATATTTGGTGCAATTTATGGTAGTGCATAAGTGAATTTAGTCTTATGCGAAGTAGCTTGAGCTTTTTTAGTTTAGTAAGAATTGTGGAAGCCACATGTTTATTGAGCCCAGCATTTTACCACAAAGAAAGAGGACTACATCTTTCCTCTTCTGAGGAATTGGGAGTTTTCTTCCTAAAAGTGCTTACGATTATAGTACTTTTACTTATAAGTTATTTGTGAAGCTGTAACCCTTCTAGTGGGCATGGCTGTGTTGATGTATTTTGGAAAACTAAAGCACATTAAAGGATAAGCTTTCATCAGTATCTATATTATACCAGATACAGATGGTTGCAAGGAAAACTTCAGAATATTCTATTAGTAATTGCTAAGTCCTAGCTTGTATTTTTTTTTTTTTTTTGTCTTTTGTCTTTTTCCGTGTCCGGCAACGGATCACAACCCTCAGTGTTGCCCCCACACCGGACCGGGGACCGGCAACGGGATCGCAACCCTCGGCACTGCTCCCGCGCGTATTTTTGAAAATGCCTTTCTGCAAGTTCGCCCCAGAGGTTTTGCTTGTTATATTCATTAATAGCTACAACTTCTGGGCCGAGCCCGTGGCGCACTCGGGAGGGTGCAGCGCTTGGAGCGCGGTAGCACTCCTGCCGCGGGTTCAGATCCTATATAGGGATGACCAGTGCGCTCACAGCGCTCACTGGCTGAGCGCAGTGCGGCCAGTCTCAAAAAGGACAAAAAAAAAAAGCTACAACTTCTTAACTGTAGTTGATCAGAGAAGCTCTGTAGTCCCAAGCTGAAGTGTTTTCCCTCGGCTGTTCAAATGGGGGCTGGGATTGGTTGAGCTTCTGTTCCATATAAATGTTAGAACACAATTAATTACTACAGATTGATTCACAAACTTCATGTGCCAGGGCTTGAGGCAGCCAAAATGAGTGCTGTGGATAGCCTATCTACATTTTAAGAAACACTGAGACAGGAGTTAAGGGCAGCTTTAATACCTTTTTGTTTACCACTTAATCTTTAGCAACTTTAATTTTAATTGGGGCTTAACCCATGGTGGGTGAAAAGCGGAAAATAACAAGTGCCAGTTTAGGACTGAAGAATCCAGAATGTTTCACCTTTGGCTTTAGGAGGTGTGGAAGCTTGGCCTTGCTCAAGGTGTCATGTTTCCAAATGAGCCATACATCAGTATATTAATTTAATTCTTACTAATTTCAGTTTCCTCAAAAGGAAATAACTTATACATTGATGTTGAAATCCAGAAAGTGTAAAAGGTTTTCTTAAACTGTTGAAATAGTTTCTGATATGAAGGTTGTAAGTTACTCAGCTTTCTGCTTCCTAAGCCAAACTATGTTTGTCTTCAGTGTGGAATTTAACTGTAAAAACTACTTGTAATGTCAAGAGATTATAGGAACATGTTATTAATAAAATAGAGCTTGGTCTAAGATTTTTTTCTTCAAAGGGAGTGTGAAGCTGTTTAATCTTCCGTTTGCATATGGGTTTTTCTTTCAACTTTAGCTTTTTGTCATACTTCCACTGATTTGAAGACAAAATTCTTATAATTGTACTGGTGTAGTATAATCAAGTGCAACCTAACTAGGATGAAATCCCTTTGGATTTGTAGCTAAGTATATGTTAGCTAGGTTTTATTAATTTCTCTTTATTTTTAAAATCAGTGATATATTCCTAGGAGGTGGTTAGTCTCCTGTGAACCTGAAGCATTCCCTTTGAACCTTGGAAGATCCTCAAAGAATGAGCATCTTGTGCTCTTCTAACCACGGTAATTAATTCCATAACAAATAAGAGTAAGGACCACAGACATGTAGAACACTCAACCAAAGAACCATCTCAGAATCAGTAACTTCAGTTCTGTGAACATGAAAAGATTTTTTTTTTTTTTTTGGGTTCCCAAACGAGATTATTTTTTCCCCCACAATATTCTTTTTCCAGAAAGAAAAACAATACATTAAGTATCATTAAGAACATTTTTTAGAGATACTGAATTACAAATTAGAGAAGGAAAAAAATCTGTTTCAGTGTGGGTTTCTAAGCAACATATATACACGTTTTTAAGGCATCTTACTGTTGGCAGTGTTTTTAATGGACACCACGAGCACCCTATGAAACATGTTTTTAACCCTTAAAGAAACCTTGTTCGCATATCCAAAAAGGACATGAAATGCTTGTACTGGTATACAGTTTCTATAAATAGTTATTTTTTGAGCTACTAAAACAATATCCCCAAAAGCTCACAGTGCCTTGCTGGGATTTTTTTTCCGTGAAATAGCCATTATTTAAAATGAGTGTGAGAGGATAAGTCTTTAAAGACAGTTGTTGTTTATTGGTTCAAGGCTATTCCTTTTCAAGAACATGTCAGGAATTACGTAGTTGTATGTAGAAACACTGATAATCCTTTCTGCAGTGTCGGTTTGGATCATATATTCTAGCGTATTTAATTGTATGGTGGACCTGTACTCTTCCCTACATCTAATCAGTCAGTGGGATTTGTATGTACTTTTTATTCCTGCGTTTTCATTCCTACTGTCTCAACTTAGTATCCCTAAGATGTGGCTTGGTAGACGTGGCAAACTCACCAAGCCTTGAGACACTACTACATGCTTTTGGATGTTTGCTCACACAGCCCCTGAGGAGCAGAGCCTGTCGGGGGTGGGTTTCTATTCCGTATGTCATGTGTCAGTCCTTTTCTGTGTGATGGTGCCTTCAGAATAATGAATATTTCTGTTCCTGGACAATGATAAATCTTATGAGAAATATGTGTAGATTATATTAATTTTTGTCCTTTTTTGCTATGCTTGTGAATTACTTTGGCTCTGATACAACTTGACTTGAATAATATCTTATCCTGAGTCTTCCTCCAGGGCAGTACATATTCCTGCCAGTACTGTAGTAATCTTTTGGGAACTACATGTGGGTAAGCACTTGTATGTAAGCCATTGTACTGCTATAACTAATGCACACAAACAATTCTCTTTACGTTTATAGTCTAAAAGTAGATAGGTAGTGGGAAGGAAAATTCCTGAGAGATTCCAGCATAGCTTTGTCAATTCAGACTGAGCCATACTGTTTTCCACAAGGGCTCAACACATCGTCTGTATACCATGCTTTCAGTGTATGTTTGGATTCTCCTTTTATTGGTCTTCCTAGACTGTACTGTTCTATAAGCAAATGCCCATATGTGATTTTTAAGATGTGCTGAGAAAAAAATAAAACAATACCACAACTGCTCACTGTTACAGAAATTGTTTATTTCGTGTAGATTTCATTTAACCTTTGTTGACAGCATCATACTGTACTCAGAGAAAACAAAGAGGATACACTCTGTACCCATGAGTAGCCACTTCAGTAGTGAAGGGTGTGCACAGATACTGATTTCATCCCTGCCTGTGGCTCACACATTGGAAGGAAGGTTGTATGTTTCTGGGTTCTGAAATGACTGAAGATCAGTCCTGGTGAACTCTTTTTTACTTAATACATTTCAATTACTAGCCACACTAAGATTTTAGCTCTTCTCATTTAGTTAAAGAAAGCAATTTTCTACCTGGATTATATAAGCTCAGACTGAATGAACCTTAGAAATCATCTCATTTCCACCCCTGACCTTTCTTATCCCCCAGGCCACAAACAGATAATCAGATAACAAATAACTGGATTATCTGTCGTTGTGGTCACAAAAATTTGCTGTGACCAAATAGGAACTTACTGCCTTTCCAGGCTTTTTCAACTTCTGAACTCTTCAGATATTAAGAAGTTTTTTTTCTTATTAGACTGAAATCTGTCTTTTTCTTCTACCCATTAATACAACTTCTGCCTTCTTTAGTCATAAAGAATTGTCTAGTTGCTCTGTTGAAGGGCAGCTCTTCGTGTATGTAAAGACGTGTCTTGTTTCTCTAGATCTCTAGTCAACCTTTGCTTCTATCATTTCCAGACCCTTCATCATCCTAGTCTTCGCCACGTGTACCTATTTGATGTTTTTAAAGTGAGGTGGTGTCTTGTTTCTCTAGATCTCTAGTCAACCTTTGCTTCTATCATTTACAGACCCTTCATCATCCTAGTCTTCGCCACGTGTACCTATTTGATGTTTTTAAAGTGAGGTGTCGGGGACTGAATACAAATCTTCCAGAGTAGTAACAATGCTTCCCCTAGTCTAGTGACTAATAATGCATTTTTGGTGGGCATTGCACCATTAACACACTAAAATTGAATTTAACACAGCTTGTCTATTCTACGTGTGATAT